AAGCCCATGGTGAATGGACAGAAGTCGGCTAAGGCAGCCCCAGTTCCAGGGAGGGGAAGGGAGGGCGGGATTGGTCTGTTCCCAGGAGCAAATTTGGGAAAGGGGATGGCAGACCCTTCATGGCCACTGAGGTAGAAGCAGGGCCCCACCCCTGCCCTCTCCTCCCTTCCCTTCTCCCACACCCTTCCTGCTTTCAGCCCAAGCCCACCACTCTCACCTCCTTGCTTACTTACATGGGAGAGCCCAGAGAGGTGCATGGTAAAGATAAAATTAAATCGAGTATCCTCTATTTAAAGAAGCGCTTTTAAACGGTAAAAGATACTATGCAAATGCAAAACAGAGGTTTGATTATTGTTAGACTCCGAATCAAGCCTGAAATCACTTTAGAGCTTGTCTCTGGCTCCAGAAGGGCTGTCACCCTGGGCAGTTCTATCTTCCTCTTCTTTGTCCCCGTCTCCGTCTCCCCGAAGCATCCACCAGAGGACGCAGCTTCCCCAAAACTTTCCACCCTGCGCTTGGCTGGAGAAACTCTGTCCTTGCTTCCCTGATCGCCCGGGCCCGCGGTTAAATCACCGCAGCCACAGGCCAGGCCGTCCGTTGCCATGGTAACGGAAAGCCAGGGCGTCACCATTGTCCGGGTGGGTGTGTTGGAGTCCTTGCCTATACATCCCCAAGACTCCCTGCCGGGACTTTAGAGTGGGGGAGGGAGACCGAACCAAAAAGACGCCCTTTTTCCCCCTACCTTCTCGCGCCCCCTTCTGTTCAGAAAGTGGATGGCTTCCCCCGCGCGTGTCCGCACTAGCACACCGGCGTTCACGCGTGGTACGCAGAAGGCCCAAGCCTCGCGCTTGTGCAGCTCCCACCCTACCCCTCAGAACTTTCCCCGAACTCTGCCCCTCCCCCATCGCTAAGGCAGTCAACTCAGTCTAATAACCCGGTTCAGCACTTCCCAAACCCGCAGGGGCCCACTAGACCAAACCCGCGCGCTAGAACCCTTCTCCTGAGCCCCCGTTTCCCCGGGGCTCCGCCCCGCTCCTCTGGGCCCCGCCCCCAGGCAGTGCGGGGCGGGAGGCGGGGCCGGGGGCGCGGCCGCTGGGCTGGGGGCGGGGCGCAGGGGGGGCCGAGGCCCCGGGCGGGGGCTCGGCGCGGGCCCGAGAGATGCCGGTGTCGGCGGCCCGAGCGGCTGCAGCTGCAGCGGCGGGGGAGGCGGCAGCGGAGCCCGGGAGGGGGGCTGCGCGGGGGGCCGGCGCGTAGCCGGGACTATGGAGGGGCAGAGCGGTCGCTGCAAGATCGTGGTGGTGGGGGACGCGGAGTGCGGCAAGACGGCGCTGCTGCAGGTGTTCGCCAAGGACGCCTACCCCGGGGTGAGGAACCGGCGTCTTGGGAGGGGGGCGCTGAGGCCGCGGGGGTGGGTGACTGGGGCCTGGGGGACGGACGGAAATGGGTGCTGGGGTAACCAGGGATCAGAGAGAGGGGCTTGGAGGACTGGGGAAAGCGTTGGGGTTTCTGAAAGGACTGCAGAGGTTTTGGGTGGGAGGCATTGGGGAGCAGGGTGAGATGAATGGGGTTTGGGAGAACCGGAGGATCCCGGAGGGGGCGCTAGGGGAATGTCGGGGGTCTTGGGCATTGGAGAGGGGAAGAACTAGGGCCTGAAAGGACCGGGAGGGGGTCCGGGAGCCTAGCAGAGATTCCGCTGAGGCAGCTGCTCCCGGGATCTCCCCTTTGCCCAACACCGGACCAACTTGTGTCCTCGGGCTGGGCTGCACGGGGTGTAGGAATGAGGAGGGCATTTGTCTGGGGTGAGCACTGGAGGATCTCATCTTGAGCCATTCGTGTCTGCAGAGTTATGTCCCCACCGTGTTTGAGAACTACACCGCGAGCTTTGAGATCGACAAGCGCCGCATTGAGCTCAACATGTGGGACACTTCAGGTAGCCAAGTCCCTCGGGGTCACCCTGACTTCCAAGGCCCCCACCCTGCTCCCTCCCTGGACTAGACCCTTAGGCTCCAGGTCAACCCAGCCCATCCATCCTATCCTAGGAGGAAGGAAAATTAATTTTCTGCTTAAAGCCAGGAAAACTAGGCAGAGCTTTCAGAGACACATAGAAACCTTGTCCTGAAGGAGAAAGCCCAGTATCCCATCCCCTCAGCTCGATTCTGCATACCTGGGAAAGTTGGGAAGGAATGGCTTTTATTTTGGAACATGTTTCTTAGGAGATAGGCCTGGGTTTAGGAAAGACATTTAGAATTTCTTTTGGGGGCAGGAAACTGCTTCTCTAGACTGAACTATAGAAATCTGAGATCAAGTCCCGGGAGGGTGGGAGGGCTCTGCCCCTGCCCCTTCCCCTACAAAAAGGGAGGAATTTTTTGTTTTGTTTTAAATTTTTACTTGGCTCCCCTGGAGAGCTTTAGAAAATGTCTGTCAAAGCCCAGAAGGCGCATGCAAAATTTTGTGAGAATGTTGAGAGATTTCATGAGCTTCTCAAAGACTCAGAAAAGATTAAGAATGATTACTTTTAGAGAACCCCCTAGGGAAGTGGAGAGCTGTTTTCTGCCATCTAACCTCCCCTCTGTCTACTCCCTTCCTTGGAGAAACACAGACTCCTTGATGGGTATTAATACCTGCTCTTTTCCATTCTCTGCTCAGAATCCCTTGACCAGGATTGCTAAGGTCTCCCATTCCCTTCCAGGCCTTCTGCACACTCAGAACCCTCGTCTGTCCCCTCCCTCCCTGTCTTCTCTCAGGTTCCTCTTACTACGATAATGTCCGGCCTCTGGCCTATCCTGATTCGGATGCTGTGCTCATCTGCTTCGACATTAGCCGACCAGAAACACTGGACAGTGTCCTCAAGAAGGTGGGAGCCTAGGGAAACAGGACAGCTAGACTGAGGGGGACCAGAAAACACATGGGCCAGGAGGAGGGAATTACAGCTGAGCATGGCCGTCAGGGAGAGTGTGTGTGAAGCTCTCCCCCTCCCCAATCCCCCCCTGACTTCCTGGAAATCAGTCCTCAGAGCTGGATATGGCATCTGGGGGAGATGGGGGACAACAGGGAGGAGTACTCAAGGGACTTCTCGTCCACCCTCCCCATCTCCTTGGGTGTGGGAGCTCCAGATGGAGGGGATAGGAATGCTGCTGCTGGAGCTCAGGAAAGCCC